ATGTATAAATAAACATAATACTTTTCAATCTTTCCATTGACAAGGCAAGTTCACATTCAGCAAAGTGCCACCACATCCCATATACACATCTCTGTACAGATATACACATAAGGGTCTGTTTTCACCCTTCAATCGGGAGAATTTATTCTAGCAAATCCCATTAACCAGCAACTGAAGGGAGAAATGGCACCAGTACAAACTCCCTTCTTTCATTTGCATGCATATGTACAAGAAATATGCAGATTAAAAAAAAAAATCCCAACACAAGAGTGAATGAAACTGGGAGATGCTGCAAAAATACAACTGTAGAAAAGAACAGCATATAGAGCTTTCCTAGGTCTTCACTATATCTAAGATGAAGTAAATGACGCATAAGAGACAACTACAAATTCAGGTATATTATCAGAAGTTGTTTTGACATATTTCAAAGTACATGATTTTTTAAGTATTAAAAATAAATGTAATTGGAGCATTTAATAACAACTCTAATTTTGACTATTTCAGACCACCAGATACTCCAGTAATGAATGTATGGCAAAATGACAACTTAAAATTCAAAATATGGGGATGTATTATTTTTAATCCATATGAATCAGGGGTAGTACAATTTTTCCTATAGCTAAAATATGGGGATGGGAGTACTCTTAACCTAATAAATTAACAGCACAACTGAATACAAGTTTTTTGAAAAATTTTGGAAATCAATGAAATCACCCCAGCTTTGAAATATGCACGGTGAAATGATGCCACCAACTCCTTAAACAAAGTAGCCCCTTCCAAAAATTCTTCATGAAAGGCATATACTTTTTCTTAACTTCACCAAGAAAAGATGATCAACAATATTTTCTTACTCAGAATAGGAAGAAATCTATTGTTAACATAAAAAAAGTTCAACAGATCTCTGGTCCCATCACCACAATAGATAAACACAGCTCATGTCTGGGTCTGTCTGTCTCCCTCTCTTATTTTTATGCTCAAAAGTGAGGGGCTGATCTCAGAACCTCCTGTTTCTCATGTCATTTTATGAACACAGCATAATGTAAGTTAATCCAAAGGTTAACATAAAATGCACATGATATCAGAGCTAGCCTTTTAACATAAGATAACATAATGATGAATTTGGTGTATTTATACAACAGAGACAATGAGAAAGTAACTCCAATACCCTCAACTAAATAAATCATGTTTCTACAATACATTCGGTTACCTTTATCTATTTTTATATAAGCACACATTCATATCTCTCACACACGTGCCCCCAATGTATATTTTTGCATGTGTGTAAAAAATACAGACATATACATGCACACGAGTAATTTAATTCTATTTTAAAGTCACAGTGGGAATTCCTTAGTGAGGAGGGTAAAAAGTTCCTGAATAAGACGCTGAGAACATCTAGATTAATTATTTTCTCTATTTTACTTCCCAACTTACAGAATAAACTGTAAATTAAAGAATAAATCCATAGGAAATAAAAGAGGTCTTAAAAACTTAGTTTACAAATTCCAGCTACAGTAGTTGGAGTTTTACTTGATCTATGTATTTCTATGTACCCTGTAACTAAGCTTCTAGCCATCTTAAGTGTAAACCACAGATCATTTACTAAAGAACATGATTCTCAACAGTTCTAGGAACAGTTATAAATGGTCTAAAGGTGTTCTACATTTTGAGGCCCCAGGATATCCTTTTATTTTATATATCTGCAAGGTAGCAAAGGATAGCTATACACCTTGACACGGCAGAGATCCAGTGTAAAAAGGTGCTTCACTAGTTTGTCAAAAAAAAAAAAAAAAAAAAAAAAAGCTCATATATATTTAGCTATTAAACACATAGGCAACATAATTCATTATACTCAATACAGCTTTAGTATAAAACTTATAATTTATGAGGTGATGTTAATAGCATAAATTAATATACCTTTTCTCTTAAAATCTACAATAAGTATTCTGAAAGCTTATTGGGGAAGGAAATTTTTAAATAAAAGTTTTAAAGCTGTGCGTGATGGGAAAGGATTCTGTATTCTGAAGCTGAGAGCCTGGAGGAGAAAGGAAAAAGTCCTATGCAAGACACTGTGGGCTACAACACCAAATGTTTCCTCTTTCTTCTGCTCTCTTCAATGATGAGTCACCTTTAGTTTCTTTTAAAACTATTTTCTTATTTTTAAAAACTGCCCTAATTTCCACAAGGAATCCCTGAGACATACTCAATACTATACAGTGAAAAGAACTATCACTGTTGAGAAGAACAGATTTAACCCTTCCAAACAGATGAAGACAATGTCAACAAGTGTCAAGCTTCCCATCATTTCAGCGCTAATCCATTGGAGCCAACTGTACCTTAATGATGCAGGCCGGAGTCATTTCAGGGCAAATCAGTCTACTCCCCCAAGTAAAAGCAATGGTGTGGCATTTAGCTGCATTGGAGCCTTCTGTACTGCATGCTGAAAATTTTTTCAAGGGGGAGCTTTGGGTGCATATAGAGCTTACTTCAGTGGTCCCCAGCTTAAAAAACAAACAAAAATGAACAAACGAAGAAAAAAAAAAAAAAAAGAAAAAAAACAAGTGAAAGAAAGGGATTCTAATACTCTTCGGCCGGGATCGGTACAGATCATGTGTACATGTGCATACTTCAGGACTGTGGTGGGCAGAGGCAAGCAGGCGGAAGAAAAGATGGAAAGCTGTGCTGCCCTATACAGCTCACTGAGAGTTAGATAGATTTTTTCTTATAAGATTATCATTCTAAACTTTAGATCACTAAAAACTCTGCTGTTCAAAGTAGCCAAACATCCCCAGTACTGAGGAACATAAGGTAAAAAAAAAAAAAAGTCCTACTGAATTTGCTGGCTCTCTCTCTGAAACATCACATGTCCTTTAATTAGCTCTGTATCACAGTGCAGAAAGAGAAACACTAACAAAAAAATAAGGGCTGAAATGAAAACAGAATTTTTGCTATTTAGAAATAAGGCTCCTGGCTGGGCGTGGTGGCTCACACCTGTAATCCCAGCACTTTGGGAGGCAGAGGCAGGTGGATGACAAGGTCAGGAATTCAAGACAGCCTGGCCAAGACGGTGAAACTCTGTCTCTACTAAAAAATACAAAAATCAGCTGAGCGTGGTGCTGGGTGCCTGTAATCCCAGCTACTCAGGAGGCTGAGGCAGGAGAAGTGCTTGAACCCAGGAGGCAGAGGTTGCAGTGAGCTGAGATCACGCCATTGCACTCCAGCCTGGGTGACAGAGCAAGATTTCGTCTCCAAAAAAAAAAAAAAAAAAAAAAAGAGAAGAAAAGAAATAAGGCTCCCTAAGTTTGACCCACAGCTGCAGCATTAATGATACAATGACACTGTTTATTAGAAGAGACATAACCATTCATGTTTTCTTTCCTAATTCATTAGTCAGGGAAAAATGTTTAACAGATATCCAAATATGTCCTTCGCTGGTATTTTATTACAAATTATTGGAAAGGTAGTATATAAAATGTTACTTTAATCTACTAAACATGCTTTTGGTTCCCTCTAGAATACAGGAAAGTTTATAAAGATGTTAAGACATTATTAAACTGTTTAACTTTTCTACAGAATGCCAGTGAAGATTTAGTTATTTTTAATTTATTGGGGGGGGAATCTATGTTCTTTCACATATATATGAAAGAACACAGATTTTGATATGTTCCTTTAGATATGAAAGAACACACACACACACACACACACACACACACACACACACACATATATATATATATATATACACACACATACATACATACATATATATATGATCTCCACCCCAATATATTTTTTGTCAGGAAAAAAAAAATCTTTGGAACAATGTAAATACTGGTGATAAAATACAAATGAAGACTGTTCAGTATGACTCAATTTTCTTTCAAGGAATCCTCTAAATTGCCTCATTAAACTAGAGAGTTCTGTTGACCATTTAGAAGACCATTATATTAGATTTCTATATATACCAGATTAAGAAGAGAATTTCAAGTCTAAAAAGAAAGATGAAGAAACTGAAAACTAGACACTCAAAAATATTTTTTAATGAATTTCAAACTTCTTAATTAGTTTAGTGTTAATATCCTCATCTTTTTGCAATACCAATCCACAGCGACCTTCTGAACTGACCTGGAGGAAAGATGACTGCCTCCCATGTGCACTGCTGACTGATGATGCCCATCAGCCATCACCAGCACCCCTAGGATGCCAAGGCATGGGAAAGACAGTGGGCAAGCATTGGCGGACTGACAACACGGCATTTACTAGATATACTCAAATTCTAATCCCACTTTATAAAAACAGAATGGTACAGGTCAACAGAAAGGTCAATTCTTTCATGTAAGAAGAAAACTGTATGGACAGGGCACCTCTGTGCATCACAACCATGGTTTCCTTCCTAATCAAAGAGCTGTCTTTGCCACTGTGGACTGTGATCACGGATTGAGAACAAGCTCTGATAAGGAGGAGCTTTAGTGTCAGTCACAGAAAATGATGATTCCTAACTTTCAGGTCAGAGACTGGGCTTGTTTTAAAAAGAAATCTTATAAATAATTATTTGGCAAGGATAAAGTATTAACTTTCTTTAGCCTTAAGCCACTAAAGACAGTAACACCAACTTTAAGAGAAAAAAAAATAACCTCACTTTCCAATTTGCTCCCCATGCCTACTATTTGCTTCTGATTAAATTATGGTCTTCTCATAGAGGGACACTAGACACACCACACTGCCTGCCAACATGAAATTGCTCAGGAAGTCATTTATAAAGCAGTTATATCACACATGGTAAGTTACTAGAGAAAATAATCCTTTGCTGTCTAAGCTATGTGACGATAATTAGAAATTTTTCCATTGCATAGTCTGTCACTTGGTGGGTTAAGTATAATTGCTACTTACTACTATGAGTTGTTTACTAGCTACATTACCTACCCAGATGTGCAAATTGCTAAGCCATTTTTACAGAAGAAAAAACAATGTCTTAAGTACTTTAATTAAAATAATATTAATAATTATGTAGAGACTGTCAAGGAGAGAAAGCCCATCTTTTCTTCTGATTACAGCCAGTGAATATCACACATTAGAATGGAATTCAGATTCTCAGAGCACAGAATGCATCCATTAACTGCAGGAACTTTGTAAATTAAATCACAGTAACACAATCTAACTGGCCTTTATAAATAGTCCCAAAGAACTGCAGAGAGTGAAACTTCTTTGCCACTATTTCTCACGGGTTTAACACTAGAATAAAAGCTAGTTTCTACCTCACTAGGACCTTATATAAGATTTGTTTTTGATTCCAGTATTGTCTTATGATAGCATAAGTGCTAGTTTAAAAGACATTAATTTTCATATTTCTGGAGTAAAAGACACTTCATTCCTTTCTATACATATTAATAGCAAAGTAACTACGAATAGAAGGAAAACACACGGATATCTCTGGGCTTATAGATGTTCTTCTCTCTTCCAAAAAAGGGACTCACAAGAAACAGCAAGAGCAAAGCAAATTGCAAACTTGGATATCTGTTTTGAACTAGATAAAATAAGAGGAAAATTTGTTGTTGGTAATTCCTCAACCCTATACTGGTACTTCTAAAAGTGCCCTCTCCTCAGCTTTCATCATGGGCAACCAAACGAAAATGTATTTACTCAAAGTTTTTGGTGTGAAGCTGTAACTAGCAACATTCCTGATAATTTCATGCCTCCTTACTAGAAAGCAGAGAAGGGCTTTCAAATGCACATAAAACAGAAAATTGCAAACAATAAAATGTGCAACTTACTGCAAACTCAGCTTTGTATCATAACTGAAGAATTTTAAGCAGCTAACAGAGGGAGAAATTGTCAGAAAAAGTTCAAATCGACTACCCACGACTTTCCCTTCGCTGTCAAAGGGCTGATGAGGAAGTCAACGTGCTGCTCTGCGACAACCTTTAATTAATACACAATGGAGACTAAACCAAATTGCTGGGGATGGACAGTTATCTAGTGACGCTTATGATGGGTTGTGAAGATAGTTTAACAAACTAAATGACATTTTTGAGCAGAGGTAACTACTCATGACCACTTCATTACAGTACATTAAAATAAAAAAGCTTACTAATATAGATTCACAGGTGAGAAATATTCAAATTATCTGTTCTCACCATTCAGAATAGAAATTTATGGTGATACCAAATATAATTTTGCTTTATGACATAAGTTATAATTTAGAAATTTTGCACTCTGCAAAAAAGGCAAAGCTATTAAAAATAAATCTTCCAATCAATTACCATGATGTAAAAAAACCTAAATATATTACAAACATATTTTTGGCCCACAAAAAGAAACATCAATAAATACAAAATAGGGCATATAATGATTTCATACAGTCATGTGACATTTCCCCTCCATAACCTCAGGCACGTGGTATCTGCATAATGCCTGCTGATCACCATCATTCCTTTAAAAAGCAGAGAAAGAAAAGCTTTCAAAAGAAGGGACTGGTTAGAACTAGCATGGCATAAAGAGATTATGTATAGGAAGTAGGAAAATACATCCAATCATTACCTATCAGAAAGGAATTAAGATCAAATATTCCCTGACAAATGAATTATTGAACCACATCAATAGATATGTTCTCTCTACTTAACTTTTAAAATATATATATATATGTAAATTAGACTAGACTCAGGTATAAATAGCCAATGGTATCTCAAGGGACAGTGAAACTACTCGGCAAAAGCAGAGTAGAGATGCCTTTCAAATCTAGTTCCACCCTTCTCTGGGGGAAAAAAAAAGGCAGGCAAAAAACCTCACAAATTCATTTCATAGTCACGAATTTCCTAAACTACCCAATATGATTTTTAACCCTAAAATCCTGGCATTTTAAAAACATTTCCCAAAACTATTTTCAAATTTACTTAAACCCAAGTACTTAAATTATTTTAAAAGTACCAAAGGGTGGATAAAATTTATGTCTAATTTCCATATTCTGCTTTGAAAGAAACTTTAAAATGTGTATCCTTCAGATATTACACATCACTTCACAACTGGTACATTGATTCTACAAGTGTCTTCAACATTTTACAAATCTTACCAAAGAACCACTACCGTAAACATGAAAAATTCAAAAGCAAAAGATGGATCGAGGAGTTCACAGATCCCATCTTTTCAAATCTATCTGACCTATCCTGCTTTTTCACATCAAAATATTTTCTTTAATTACATCTTGCACATGTATTCCACGAGAGAGGGATTTACAAACAAACATATGCCTGAAAAGGCAAAGGGGCCATCAGGCCCCAGAGCCCCGGCAGCCTGCAGTCGCCCCAGGCAAGCTTTTCAGGACACCCCTACCTCACCGACAGGAATCCAAGCTTTCTATGTTCTGTTTCTTCTTGGGTTTTAAGCAGAAAAAGGTTGTGCTATTCACACGACCAGCCCACCACCCTCCCTATTCACGAAATTTGAGGAAAAGAAGGACCAACCTTATTAGGATTGTGAGATGTAGGAGAGGAGAAAAGTAAGAGCCTTATACTCATTAGAGGGGAAAAAAAACAAAACGAAAAACAAACTAATGGGACTGCTGCTTCCTGCACTGCACAAAAACACACGCGTGGGCACACACATACTCACAGGCAGTCAAAAGACACATTTTTTTCTTTTAGTTAAACATGATCACAATTAGGAATGAAATCCTGGCCTCACTGTGATGTTTAGCAGTTGGTGCTAAGTCTTGACCTGCCACACACCATTTGCTGTCTCTTATACTGGAACTGAAGTAATATGATCATTCTATCTAGAACCACCTATGTAAAAACCTGGCAATAGAATGGAAAGCATTGATCTGAATACTAGGAAATAGTAAAGGGCACTGGTATTCTGAGGTATCTTCCACTTCTAGGACTTGCTACTAAAAATCAATCCTATCCAGTCACTGTGCTGAACCACTAAGGAAACCACTGGGGCGGAGTGGGCCTGCCAGGAGGGAATGAGCACCAGTGCTAAGGAGCACATGTGAACACTGTAGCGAGGTCCACTGCAGGGCCACTTATTGAACTGGGAAGGGGGGGTGCCCCCTAATCCCCATCTGTTATTTTTTAAATCTTCTTTAGGAAAAGGGGAGAGGGGTGCTAAAGAGGAAACAAAGATAGAAAACACTGGGTTCCCCACCTGCCTGCAAACGCACAGACACCCTCAGTTAGGGGAGGGAAAGGGAGAAGATGCATTATTGGTACTTGTAGCTGTGGCACCTGTTACTGTGAAGCCTGTAGGAGGGGCTATAGAGCTGTGGCTGGGCTGCAGGTCCTTAGGAATGCCACTGTGAGAACTCAGCTGGTGGCCAAAGGCTGCGCTGAACTGAGGGAGTTGCTGCTTGGGAGAGGTGGAGGCCATTAGTTCAGCAGAAGGCCCCATGCCACTGAAGCTGGTCTGCGGTAACCCCGGAAGCACACTGGAACTGCTGGGGGTCACGGTGGCGAAGGCAGGCTGTGTGGTCTCTGAGTTCGAAGTAGTGGGTGGCGTGGATAGGGAAGTGGAAAGAAGATGTCCATCTGCGCCGAGAAGGTTGCTAAATGGAGAGGGATCTCCGAGGTTGACGGGGAGATTGCCCCAGTGAGTTCTGGGGTTTACCACTCCTCCAAGTGGCACCTCAAGTTGGGTTGGGAGCAAGTGCTGCGCCATGATGGGCATCTCTGCTGAAAAGGTAGCTGCCATATTATCACCAGAGTACGATGTTGTGTGGGGAGAGGTGATATGGTCACTGTAGGGAGACGGCACATGCTCACTATCATAATGGCTTCCATGGGGCGAGGAGTGGGAGTGATCACTGCTGTATTGCTGTCGTGAGGTGATTAGGTCATCTGCCTTGCTCAGCAGCTGGGCAGGATGTGGCCTCTGGGAGGCATGGCTGCCGTCATGAAGTCCATGAAACTGTCCTGGGAAGGCTCTCTCCCCAAGTGCACTCTGGCTGATCAGAGTGGCAGAAGTAAGGCCAACGTTGGCTGGGGCAGAGAACTGCCCCTGGATCTGCCCTGCCAGGGGTGTAGGTGGGTTTGACAAGGTAGCAGAACGGAGCAGGTTCTCATCCAGCTCTAGACTAGAAAAATTATCATGTACTATACGCCCATTCAATAGCTCCCCTAGGTCTGTGTTCACTTCTCGGCTCAAGGATTGTATTCCTGAAGCTCCAGTACCTGTGGAGAACACCCCTATTCCTCTATCTGACAACTCCTGGACTGGCACACCATCTGACTGGGCAAGGACCCCGATGGTACTCAGGCACTCGAGAGAAGTTACAGCCTGCAAGGCCCGCTCAAGCTCCTCAGCCTCTTCGGTAGTTGGAAGGAGGTCTCCATTCTTCCCTATGTCAACAAAAGCCATCAAGAATCAGTAGAGCTTTTATCAGTTCTGTATCACAAAAATCACACATTTGAATTATTTTAAACAATTTTCTGTTGAAAAAGAGTCCCTCTTGAAAAGAAAAGTTTCCAGATTTGGACTGGAAGGAAAAAGTGAAATACTAATCTGGACAGGTCTGAAATGTCAGCTGTCCTGGAATCTTAATCACCATCTTCAGTTTATTTACCAAAAAAATCTCAAAAACCATCTTATCAAAGTACTAAATTCTTTTTTTTTTTTTTTTTTTTTGAGACGGAGTTTCGCTCTTGTTACCCAGGCTGGAGTGCAATGGCGCGATCTCGGCTCACCGCAACCTCCGCCTCCTGGGTTCAGGCAATTCTCCTGCCTCAGCCTCCTGAGTAGATGGGATTACAGGCAAGCGCCACCATGCCCAGCTGATTTTTTGTATTTTTTAGTAGAGACGGGGTTTCACCACGTTGACCAGGATGGTCTCGATCTCTTGACCTTGTGATCCACCCGCCTCGGCCTCCCAAAGTGCTGGGATTACAGGCTTGAGCCACCGCACCCGGCCTCAAAGTACTAAATTCTTAGAAACTACGGATTACAAATTTAAAACTCATGGTGACTATGTGATTATACATGTTTTTACCTAAAATTATATTACCATCATTAAAATAGAAAACATATAATATCAACTTGGATTTGAGACAAAAGGCTGTGTAGAACAGTTCCACCTTGCCTGTTCTACTCCTGACCCTCCCAGCTAGAGAGCAGCTGTGGAAGGTTAAAACACAGACGTTCATACGTCTATTTTAGCACAACACTAAGCACTCAGTTCATTCCATGGGTTATCTTTCAAAATGCTTTTGCTTTACTCTCTAATCCTTCTCCCTCATTCTTTTCCCATTTCTTACTAATTTTCATAAAATGGAAACCAATGGATCTACTTTGATTTCATTTCTAATATTTAAAAAAATCTACTGTTAGGACCTTGATTAATCGCCATGAAAATATTCAATTTTTAATGGTGAAAGAAACATTCTAAGAGTATAAAAGGTTTCCCCGGAAAGTATGGGGGAATTGGCAGGATTAAACAAACTTCGTTTTGGAAAAGTGCACTTCCTTTGAAGTACAAGGCGGAGCATCAAACTAGGGCAAGTTCTAAAAGACTTCAAAACTCATGTTCTGCCAGGTGCAGTGGCTCACACCTGTAGTCCCAGCACTTTGGGAGGCTAAGGCAGGTGGATCATTTGAGGTCAAGAGTTCAAGACCAGCCTGACCAACATGGTGAAATCCTGTCTCTACTAAAAATACAAAACTTAGTCGGGCATGGTGGCAGACGCCTGCAATCCCAGAAGGAGAATTTCTTGAACCCAGGGGGCAGAGGTTGCAGTGAGCCAAGATGGCACCATTGCACTCCAGCCTGGGCAACAGAATGAGACTCCATTCCCCCCAAAAAACAAAACTCGTCTTCAAGATATCCTCGTCCAAAAATAAAGTAAAAATATTCACTTTAAAGAAACAAAGTTGGGCCAGGCACGGTGGCTCACACCTGTAATCCCAGCACTTTGGGAGGCCAAGGTGGGTGGATCACTTGAGGCCAGGAGTTCGAGACCAGCCTCACTGACATGGTGAAACCCCACCTCTATTAAAAGTACAAAAATTAGACGGGCATGGTGGCACATGCCTGTAATCCCAGTTATTTGGGAGGCTGAGGCGGAAGAATCACTTGAACCGAGGAGGCATAAATTGTGGTGAGCCAAGCAACAGAGTGAGACTCCATCTCCAAAAAAAAAAAAAAAAAGAAAGAAAGAAACAAAGTTATAAACCTAGTCACCAAATTATGAGATGGCTAAACAAACTGTACATTCCTTATCTTCTGAAAGGGGTAAAATAGCTGCAACGGTATTATATTTCCTATCTACAGTGAAAGACATTGTATGTGAGAAGAAATACGACAAACACATCTCAAAACAATATTTCCTTTCTTATAAACTCGTTTTTAAAACCAGTTTCCTTGAGTCAAAATATTGACTATACCTTCAAAAAAATCAAAATCTTGTAAGTCATCAGGTAGCCGTGGTAGGACGTCTGAAAAGTCCTCCTGGTTCAATTCCAAGTCATGTGGAATGTCAGTGATCTCATTGGCAATGTCATCCGGCAACTCATCAGCACTCAGCTCTGGTGTGGATGGGCTCCTGGGAAAGAGGACACAGTCGGTTCTGTAACTCCCACTTTATCTTCATACCAATACCACCAAGCCAAGTTCATTCAACATGAAAAGAAGCTAATGTCAGGCTGGGCACAGTGGTTCACACCTGTAATCCCAGCGCTTTGGGAGGCCAAGGTGAGTGGATCTCTTGAGGCCAGGAGTTCAAGATCAGCCTGTCAACATGGCAAAACCTTGTCTGTACTAAAAATACAAAAATTAGCTGGGCATGCTGGTACACACCTGTAATCCCAGCTACTGAGGAGCTGAGGCATGAGAATTGCTTGAACCTAGGAGGAAGAGGTTGCAGTGGGCTGACATCATGCCACTGCACTCAAGCCCTGGCAACAGAGCAAGACTCTGTCTCAAACAAAACTAGCTAATGTCTTTTAGGTTTTTTTTTTTTTTTTAAAAGGTCAGAAAGCCCCAGCAGGTCTTGAACTCCAGCAAAGGGATTAGACAGATGGAAAGTAAGGAAGTAATTACCTGAGCTAAAGCCAATCCTAATGTCCCCTAGGTTTGTTTGAGATTGAGTCTTGCTCTGTTGCCCAGGCTAGAGTACAGAGGCGCAATCTTGGCTCACTGCAACCTCTGCCTCCTGGGTTCAAGCGATTCTCCTGCCTCAGCCTCTCGAGTAGCTGGTATTACAGGCACCAGCCATCATCCCTGGCTAATTTTTGTATTTTTAGTAGAGATGGGGTTTTACCATCTTGACCAGGCTGGTCTCAAACTCCTGACCTTGCGATTCACCTATTTAGCCTACCAAAGTGCTGGGATTACAGGTGTGAGCCACTGGACCTGGCCCTAGGCTTTTTATATTCAACAGAAACATGAGAAATCCTAACTTACAGTATCTCCTCTCCTACTTTAAAAGAAGGAAATATGAAAGTAGAATCACTGCAAAAATTCAGGCCTCACCGTATGCAGTCACATATTTCTGCAACCTTGACCCATGTATTAAGAGATAACAACAACTACTAGGTAATATTTTTACTTCAAATTAGTAAAATGAGTCACAATTTGGCGTATCAAATGTATCTTGATGCTTTTTAGAATTTCAAATCTGGTCAAAATAATAATTTTTAAAATGAAATTAACAACAGGTAAAACTGAAATGCTTAGCTAAAACAAAAGCTTCATTCTTCTGGTCAAAATGTTTAACCCTGTCAAAATAATAATGCCTCATATTTCTGATGGAATACTTCTGTTGGAACATATATGGAATTTCTGCTAACATTCTTAAAAGTTAGAGGCCAGGTGCAGTGGTTCATGCCTATAGTCCCAGCACTTTAGGAGGTCGAGGAGCGTAGATCACTTGAGATCAAGACTTTGAGACTAGCCTGGCCATGATGAAACCCCGTCTCTACCAAAAATACAAAAATTAGCTTGACATGATGGCGCATGCCAGTGACCCCAGACTGGGGTGGCTGAGGCAGGAGAATTGCTTGAACCCTGGAGGCAGAGGATGCGGTGAGCCGAGATCGCGCCACTGCACTTTGCCTGGATGACAGAGCAAGACTTGGTGTCAAAAAAAAAAAAAAAGGAAAAAGAAAAAAAATGTTTTTTGAGAGTATACAATTAAACTCAATTTTGGCATCTATTTTCTTTATTATAAGCAAAAGCTTAATTTTAGATAAAATACAGTCAGATACAGGTAAAATTTGTACCAAAAACTATTTTAAAAATCTAGGCTGATATACTAAATGGCTTCTGTAGCCTAGTGACAACTTTATAATAACCACTTGAAGCTAGATGTTCTGAGAAGAATCTGAAAATACGTAAGAAAAATTAAGCCCCGATACCACCACTGACCGGATCTGAGAGGCCTCCACTGGCAGTGAGACGCTGGCGGGCATGCTGAGGTTCCCTTGGGGGACTGCAGGGGGAATGGGTTTTTGGGGTCGACGAGGTCCACGTCTTCTCTTCTTCTTGTGTTTTTTGGTTAGTGCAGGAGGCTTGGTTTTTTTCCTGGGTTTCCTCTGCTGCTGGTGCTGAACTTTACGGGAGTTATCTCCTCTCAAGAAATTATCCTTTGGAATGAATAAATGGGTTTTTAAACTGAGATTATCTCAGAGAAACCTGATAGTTACCTAAAAAAATACTTAATATTCTATGATGCCTAAAACATAGTGGATGCCCAAAACTATGTTTAACAATGATGAAGACACCAAACTTCATGAATTCTAAGATCTATATTTTAATATATCTGCAATTGGGAAGGATTTTAAATTCTTGGCATCTTATAATTATTGACACTGACACACACACACACACACACACACACACACACACACACACACACACACTCAGTTCCAGTTCTTTGTACTGGCATCGTCTGAATTAAGGTATGGACACTGTTGGTATGACATGTGGAGGAAAATTTTGTGAATGCAGAAAGGTACAAAGAGCAGTAGGCCATAAAATTAATATAATATTAGTGAAGCATACATTCATTACTGAAGAACTGATCACAATTCTTTTTTCTTTTTTTTTCTGTAAGGCAACAACCAAGTGAGAAAGGAAAGTAACCACAAAATAGATGAAGTCGTTCTACTGAAGTATGTAGAAAACACTGCCTTTCACACGTCAAGCAGTACAGCCAAAACCAGGAGCGGTATATGAGATAAAAATCTAGTCTAAATAAGTCTTTTATGAGCTCTTTAATAAGTATAAAACAAAAATTCTAAGTGATAATAAAATACTGCATCACTGGCCACATTTTTTCTTAGTGGCACACAAAACAGTGGGGTTTGCAATTGATGTCACCTTTAATTAATTCCTTAACTCTAGCATCAAAAAACCGAAAACAAGAAGGAATAAAATTAAAGCATAAATTCAGGAAATCTAAAACAGGTTTAATCCTACTCAAATACTTGAATATAAACATAATTCAGATTAAGTCACAAATACATACATTTAAAACAAACAAACCAAAAAAGAGAGGCTAGTTCTAGCTAGGCACAGTGGCCCACACCTGTAATCCCAGTACTTTGGGAGGCTGAGGCAGGCAGATCACCTGAGGTCAGGAGTTCAAGACCAGACTGGCCAACATGGCAAAACTCCGTCTCTACTAAATATACAAAAATTGGCCGGTCATGGTGGCTCACACCTGTAATCCAAGCACTTTGGAGGCCAAGGCGGGTGGATCACCTGAGGTCGAGAGTTCAAGACCAGCCTGACCAATATGGTGAAACCCTCTCTTTAAAAAAAATAATAAATAAATAAAAATACAAAAATTAGCCAGGCGTGGTGGTGCGTGCATGTTATCTTTGCTACTCAGGACGCTGAGGCAGGGGAGTCGCTTGAACCCGGGAGACAGTAGTTGCAGTGAGCTGAGATTATGCCATTGCATTCTAGCCTGGGTGACAACAGCAAAACTCCGTTTCAAAAAAATAAAATAAAATAAAGAAGCTACTTCTCAGACTTTGTAGTTTTTTTGTCTCAGCACTTGAGGTCTACTTGTATTATGTCCACTATTTAACTCAACAAATGGTGAATGTGCAATGACCAGTACCCGAACATTGTGCTCAGCATCCATTCCAGGCTTGCCCTCCAGCACCGGTGCTGATCTCAGGAGGAAGTTATGGAGCTCTCACCCAAGAGGAAACAAGTCCTACTTGTAAGACTCTCAGTAATCACCTGGGTCAGGTTTTAGGTTCCTCCCTGATTCCCCTACGCTTGTGTGCAGGGGCCCTGTGGGACTCTTGGTACTGTGCCAGACGCTTTACACATAACAGCCCCAGGACAGCCTGTGACTGGTACCTGCCTCACTTGCCTCCAGAGAGCTAGAGCCCCCACTCCCTGAGGCTTTCCTAATGCCAACTGTTCTTTTACCTAGCTTCAATACACAGTGAAATACTATCCACTTCCAACTTTTGTCTCATTCTACCTCTACATCAAGGCAATGCGTTCACCATCTGTTGCAGGATCTTACATTTGTTGGAATACCATGTTCTGCCTGATAGCCTGAACTTCTTGTGCTGGAGTCTCTTACCAATGGCTGTCACATCCTGTTTCTGAATCTTAACCCCTTCCATCCATGTGCCTAACCATTAAATTATTCAACACTTACTGAGCATCTCTGTTCTAAGCACTAGGGATACAGTAGTGAAAAAAAAAAGCTCTTGCCTTTGTGAAGTTGACATTCTAGAAGGAGAATACAGAAAATAAACAAACTAATGAATAACTGAATGTTAGGCAGAAAAATGTCAGGAAGAAAAATTAGGTAGAGTATGAGGATAAAAACTTACAGGGTAACAGGCAGGTGGAAGACTTATTTGATGAGGTGACATGTGATAAGAAAGCTGAATGAAAGGAAGGAGTAAGCCATGCAGAAACTTGGGAAAAGGCCAGATGTGGTGGCTCATGTCTATAATCCCAACACTTAGGGAGGCAGTGCCAGGAGGATGTGATGGGAAGCCATTAGCAGGTTTTGATTATGGAGCTAATATCAACAGATATATAGTCTAAAGGGCTTGTTCTAAAGGCTACTTATTACAGAATACCATTTATATGACATTCTGGAAAATGCAAAATTATAGGGGCAGAAAATAGATCAGTGGAGATGGAGTAAAGGGATAAACACAAAGGGGTAGTATAAGAGACTCTGGGGAACTGAGGGAACTGTTCTGTATCTTGATTTAGGTGGTGGTGATACAACTGCATGCATCTGCAAAACTCCTAAAAGTGTAACTCAAAAGTGAATTCAATTCAAAGAAAGTAGAACATACACATAACCAGCCTACTCTGGCTGCTATGTAAACAATATACCTCCTGTGTAGCCGAGTATGGTGGCAAGTGCCTCCCAGCTACTCAGGAAGCTGAGGCAGGAGAATTGCTTGAACCCGGGAGTTGGAAGTTGCAGTGAGCCAAGATCATGCCACTGCACTCCAGCCTGGGTGACAGAGTGAGACTCTGACTCAACAACAACAACAACAACAACAAGAACAAATATATCTGCAGGGGGAGATGACAAGAAGGGAGATCAATTAGACTATTATTATAATCCAGGCAAAGATAATGGTAGCCTTGACTAGAATGGTAGCAGTGAAATTGATAAAATGTGTTTGAATTCAGAATATAATATGAAAATAGAGGCTGGGCACAGTGGCTCAGGCCTGTAATCTCAGCACTTTGGGAGGCCAAGGTGGGCAGATCCCTTGAGGTCAGGAGTTCAAAACCAACCTGGTCAACATGGTAAAACCCGGTCTCTACCAAAACACACAAAAATTAGCTGGGCGTGGTGGTGCATGCCTGTAGTCCCAGCTACTTGGGAGGCTACTATGGGGTAGCTGCTTGAACCTGGGAGACAGAGGTGGCAGAAGCCGAGACTGCGCCACTGCACTCAACCTGGGTAACAGAGTGAGACTCTGTCTCAACAAAAAAAGAAAGCAGAGCCAAGAGATCTGAACAGAGTTTTCATCTCCCAGTGTCAGTCTCTCACAGGAGCACTGACGGGGTGCAACGCTTCTTATAGTCTCCTAGATAATTTTTAACCTAAAACCAAAATAGCTCAAACTAGTGTCAGATTCTCTATCTTCAGAGAAAACCATTTTCAAAAATTTGTATTGTAAATACTTTTAAAAATTAGTATATTTATGATTGTTATATAAAATGTATATTATTTTATGACTAATTTACATTATACTAATTCAGTCTTAGGTCTGCCTTATTCGTTCACCTAAGTAGGAATGTTTAACCAGCTGAAAAGAATAAAGCTGCTTTCAATTTCTCTAAAAGCATTCACACAATAATTATTATAGGATCCAAAAATTCATTCATATGAAGTTCCTAAAGCAGACACTGAAGTCCAGTGTTTCTGCTTAACAATATCTTCCTGGTCTTTGAAGTGTGCTGGAATGGCAGAACTTTAAAATAAAAATATGCAGCTGGGATCATTTACTTTTGTGATTCGAAAGCTACAGGGCCCATACCAAGGGTCTGTGAAATTATCAATGAAGGTCCACAAAAGTGGTTCAAAAAGCCTATAAAAAATATTCCTTAGCTATGACAAAGCCTGAATAAGCTTAAAAAAAAAAAAAAAGGGCCGGGCGCGGTGGCTCAAGCCTGTAATCCCAGCACTTTGGGAGGCCGAGGCGGGTGGATCATGAGGTCAAGAGATCGAGACCATCCTGGTCAACATGGTGAAACCCCGTCTCTACTAAAAATACAAAAAATTAGCTGGGCATGGTGGCGCGTGCCTGTAATCCCAGCGACTCAGGAGGCTGGGGCAGGAGAATTGCCTGAACCCGGGAGGCGGAGGTTGCGGTGAGCCGAGATCGCGCCATTGCACTCCAGCCTGGGTAACATGAGTGAAACTCCGTCTCAAAAAAAAAGAAAAAAAAAAAAGAGCTTATAGAGCTTATATTTGCTGGGCACAGCGGCTCACGCCTGTAATCCCAGCACTTTAGGAGGCTGAGGCGGGTGGATCATCTGAGGTTAGGAGTTTGAGACCAGTCTGGCCAACATATCTCTACTAAAAAAATAAAAATTAGCCAGGCATAGTGGCATGCACTACTCCGGAGGCTGAGGCACAAGAATCGCTTGAACCCGGGAGGCAGAGTTTGCAGTGAGCCGAGATAGAGCCACTGCACTCCAGCCTGGGCAACAGAGTGAGACTCGATCCCCGCCTCTCCAAAAAAGGCTATATTTTAAATGTTTTTATATTAAAGTAGAAAAATAATTATTCAACATTTGTAATATATGGTTTAGTATGCAAATTTTTCATAACATATGCTCTGTAAAAGAAACCTAAAAAATAAAACAAGTTATTGGTGAAGAATCTAGTTGATCTGGTTTGGCTGTGTCCCCACCCAAATCTCATCCTGTAGCTCCCCTACTTCCCATGTTTTGCGGTAAGAACCGAGTGGGAGATAATGGAATTATGGGGGTGGGTCTTTCCCGTGTTATTCTCATAATAGTGAATGGGTCACACAAGATCTGATGGCTTTAAAAACAGGAGTTGCCTTACACAAACTATCTGTTCGCCCGGGGCCATCCCTGTAAGATGTGACTTGCTCCTTCTTGCCTTCTGCTGTGATTGTGAGGCCTCCCTAGCCATGTGGAACTGTGAGTCCAATTAAACCTCTTTTATGTGTGTGAATTGCTCAGTCTCTGGTATGTCTTAATCAGCAGCGTGAAAACAGACTAATACAGTAAATTGGTACCAGTAGAGTGTGGTGCTGCTGAAAAGATACCCAAAAATGTGAAAATGACTTTGGAACTGGGCAACAGGCAGAGACTGGGACAGTTTGGAGGGCTCAGAATGTGGCAGAGTTTGGAACTCCCTAGAGACTTGTTGAATGGCTTTGACAAAAATGCTGATAACGATATGGACAATGAAATCCAGGCTGAGATGGTCTCAGACAGAGATTAGGAACTTGTTGAAAAGTGGAGCAAAGGTGACTCTTGTTATGTTTTAGCTAAGAGGCTGGCGACATTTTGCCCCTGCCCTAGAGATCTGTGGAACTTTGAACTTGAGAGAGATAATTTACAGGTATCTGTAAATATACAGGTATCTGTGGAAGAAATTTCTAAAGCATTCAAGATGTGACTTGGGTGCTGTTAAAAGCATTCCATTTTAAAAGGGGAATAGAGCATAAAAGTTTGGAAAATTTGCAGGCTGACAATGCAATAGAAAAGAAAATCCCATTTTCTGAGGAAAAATTCAAACCAGCTGCAGAAATTTGCATAATTAACAAAGAGCTGAATGTTAATAGCAAGACAATGGGGAAAATATCTCCAGGGCATGGCAGAGGTCTTCATGGCAGACCCTCCCATCACAGGCCTGGAGGCCTAGGAAGAAAAGATGGTTTCATGGGCCAAACCGAGGGCCCCCTTGCTCTGTGCAGCCTAGGGACTTGGTAACCTGTGTTCCAACTGCTCCAGCCATGGCAAAAAGAGATCAAGGTAGAGCTCGGTTGTTGCTTCAGAGGGTAGAAGCCGCAGTCCTTGGCAGCTTCCATGTAGTGTTGAGACTGCAAGTGCACAGAAGCCAAGAACTGAGGTTTGGGAACCTCAGCCTTGATTTCAGAAGATGTATAAAAACAGGCCAGGCATGGTGGCTCATGCCTGTAATCTCAGAACTTTGGGAAGCCAAGGTGGGCAGATCACCTGAGGTCAGGAGTTTGAGACCACTCTGGCCAACATGATGAAACCCCATCTTTATTAAAACTACAAACAAATTAGCCAGGCATGGTGGCTGTAATCCCAGCTATTTGGGAGGCCAAGGTATGAGAATTGCTTAAACCTCGGAAGCAGCGGTTGCAGTGAGCCAAGACCACACCACTGCACTGCAGCCTGGGTAACAGAGCAAGACTCTGTCTCTAAAATAAAAAACAAAGAAGATGATGTTAAGAAATGCCTGGATGCCCAGGCAGAAGTTTGCTGCAGGGGTGGGGCCCTCAAGGGGAACCTCTACTAGGGTAATGCAGAAGGAAAATGTGGGGTGGAAGCCCCCACACAGAGTCCCTGCTAGGACACTACCTCGTGGAGGTGTGAGAAGAGGGCCACCATCCTCCAGACCCCAGAATAGTAGACTATGGGAACCTATATCTTGCATCAGCATGAACTGGATGTGAGACAAGGAGTTAAAGGAGATCATTCTGGAGCTTTAAGATTTGACTGTCTGTTGAATTTTGGACTTGCATGGGGCCTGTAGTCCCTTTGTTTTGGTCAATTTCTCCCATTTGGAATGGTTGAATTTACCCAATGGCTGTACCCCCATTGTATCTAGGAAGTAACTAATTTGTTTTTGATTTTACAGGCTCATAGGCAGAAAGGACTTGCCTTGAGGTAATGCTGAAATGAGCTGAGAGTTTGGGGTACTGTTGGGAAGGCAAGATTCATTTTGAAATGTGAAGATATGAGATTTGGGAGGTGCCAGGGCAGAATGATATGATTTAGCTCTGTGTCCCCACCCTAATCTCATCTTGTAGCTCCCATAATTCCCATGTGTCATGGGAGGGACCTAGTGGGAGATGACCGAACTATGGAAGCAGGTCTTTCCCGTGTTGTTCTCATAATAATGAATGGGTCTCAATGTGATCTGATGGTTTTTACAAATGGGATTTGCCCTCCACAAGCTCTTTTTCTGCCTGCTGCCATCCATGTAAGATGTGACTTGCTCTTCCTTGCCTTCCACCATGATTTTGAGACCTAATCAGCCATGTGGAACTGTGAGTCCAATTAACCCTTTTTCTTTTGTAAATTGCCCAGTCTCAGATATATCTTTATCAACAGGGTGAAAACAGACTAATATACCAGTGAATCACACACATTGAGGCTGAGGTCCAAAAAAGGCTAAATCTTTAGTTCCTAGTTATACACCGAGCTGGTGGCAAAGCAAGGATCACAAGTTTCAACTATTAAGTCCTGGTCTAATACCCATTCCCTCACCCTAAGGATCCCTGATAACTATAACATGCTTACAGAGGGCAGGAAGTATCTCACTTTCTAGTACATAAGGTACCTAGGACAGTATATTGCAACAACTGCTTGATGGATAAACCAATAAAAAATAACTTCCTTTAAATGATTATATAATTTAGATATTCCTCAAATTCAAATTTGTCTCTCCTCTAAATTATTCTGAATTAGATGTATAATACTAGCATTAACGAAAGCAATAATTACAGATTTACAGAAAGACTAGATCTTTGACCGAAATTTTATCAATTATTCAAGACATTTGTAGAATTGTATATAAGAAAGCAAAACCCTAGAGACATAGGAACAAAGAGAGTATTTAGAAAATGTGCTATGTATATGTATCTTAAGGTAATAAAATGTATCTTAAGGGAATAAAAATCCTGTCTCAAAACTTGTTTCAGTGATTTATATACATATATAGTTTGTGCTAAGTCACAAAGTATTTCCTACAGTGGATAACTATCAAAAGTTTGAAAGCCTCTGTTGCAGAACTTACCATTTTTTTGGCATGTTCTTCACACAGAGGTGTCTGATGTGTAATGTCAAAAACTGGCACAGAGCACTGCTGTCCATCTGCAAACTTGGCTGTGCAACTTGAGAAGAGCTGCTGAGAGTGGTTCAAGAGGATATCTGGGTTTTTTGTAAGTTAGGAATAAAATACACTGAAACTCTAATTTTCAATTTCTATATAGAATTTGCTTGTTCCCCTACTTATGTTTAATAAGTTCAAACCTTATTATCCATAAAAGTTATAAAGTACTAGCTCAACTACTGATATGGGAAAATAATAGTAGGATTTATCCGATGGCAACTCTGAAGGACTCTATTTTGCTAATGGGATCCTGGCACCAGTCTCCTTAATGACCATTCTGAACCAAACTGTGTTATTTGGAAAAGCAGGGTCATTTCCTTCTTAACATGTGAACTCCATTTAAAGTTCCACTTAATGGTTTCTGTTTTTTGTTTTGAGATGAAGTCTCGCTGTGTTGCCCAGGATGGAGTGCAATGGCACTATCTCAGCTCACTGCAACCTCCTCGCCTCCCGGGTTCAAGCAAGCAACTCTCCTGTCTCAGCCTCCCACGTAGCTGGGATTGCAGATGTGTGCCATCACACCTGGCTAATTTTTTGTATTTTAGTAGAAATGGGGTTTCACCATGTTGGCCAGGCTGGTCTTGAACTCCTGACCTCAAGTGATCCACCCACTTCAGCCTCCCAAAGGGCTGAGATTACAGGTGCAAGCCACCACGCCTGGCCAATGGTTTTTATTTTTATTTTTTAACAGCTCTTAAAAGGAAAATTTTCTGCCTATGGTATTTACCAAGATTAAAAATTTAAAGATATAATTATTAAAAACCCATCTTTCCCGAGTTGACTATTTTGCTTCACATTTCCAGCACCAAACTCACAACTTATGAAAAATTACCTCTAAATCAAAACTTTACTATTGGCCAGGCACAGTGGCTCACACCTATACTCCCAGCACTCTGGGAGGCCAAAGGAGATGGACTGATTGAGCCTCAGGAGTTCAAGATCAGCCTGGGCAACATGGTGAAACACCACCTCTACAAAAAGTACAAAAATCAGTCAGGCATGGTAGTGCATGCCTGTAGTCCCAGGTACTGAGGAAGCTGTGATGGGAAGATCACCAGGGCCCAGGCACATCGAGGCTGCAGTGAGCAGAGACTGTACCACTGTACTCCAGCCTGGGTGATAGAGTGAGACCCTGTCTCTAAACAAACAAACAAACATGGGTTTTACATATCAATATTTTTAACCACTCATACTTTTAGCTACTACGTTTCCTTAAGACTTATATCTATTAAGGACCTTTGTGTTTTTCCTTTATGGTTTTTAGGTAAAACTATTTATAAAGCCTTTATTACATAGAAAGTGTGCTGAAAAAGCTGTTCTAAGAACAGAAAGGAGGGCAAAAATTAAATAGACGGTAATTATTATTTTTAAATGCTATCTAATTTTAAAATATTCAATAAAAGTCACAGCTACAAGATTTCATCACCAACCTAAAGCTCCTTAACAGAGGTTTCCTCAAGTATACTGTTTAAAAAGAGATCTTCTTTCCTAGTCAGTGATGTTTGTTACCTTTCATTCATTTGAAATCAGCACTGTACTCACTAAAAAGAGTAAACTATTCTTACAGGAAAAAGTACTGTAAGAGTGTAAAACTGTGTAACTGTCTTAGAAGACTAAAACCAGTTTTTAAACAATGTGATTTGATTTTTTTCCATCTATGAATGTTATAGCTCCTTCTCATAAGCTACCAGGAATCACCTGAGGGACCAGAATCCTATTAACAAAATATAATTAAGTGACAGACACTAGAGGAACTTGCCATTTGCTATCAACTTTGCTTGTTTTGTTACGATGTTTGAATAAAGCAGGAAAAATTCAGAGAACATCATGAAAATTATAAGTTATATAAAATTATTTTAAACATTAAACAGTTATGGTTTCAAAAGTCATTCACTTGATTTAAAAATGAAATATATGGCCCCAAATTAGGTAGTACTTTTTCAATGCACATTCCATTGAGTTGAAAGGATACGTTGGAAACAATGTCTGGTGAATGGAAGGGCTTTGTTGGTGCACTGTTCCCCCTTCACGGTTCCATTGCATGCTGCTGGTTCCACCTCCCTCAACTTGGTTCGGCTTATGCTGAGGAAAGAAAACCACAAAATTAAGTTTTTAAAAATGCTTTAAAAATCCAGGGTAATTTTTCAACATGATGTCACAACTCTGTAACACCCTCATTATAATATCTATAACATCTCTGGTCACTAAATAAAATGCAAAAGTGGGTTAAAGAAAGAAGGCATTACAACTACCAATTGTGTTATTTCCCTAATTTTCTGACATTCAAAGCAAATAACTGTATCATAATATGCTTCAAGTATGTCTATCAGTTGTGTTTAAGTGATGTCTTGTTTCCTTTTTCTTCACAAAGAGGCAGTAAAGTGATGAAGAACTGAGAGTAGACAGAATTAGACAGACCTGGTTCTGAATCTCAGCTCTCCCTCTTACTAGCTGTGTGACCATGGGCATGTTACCTGGCCTGATTTAAGCCTCAATTTCCTCACCTGTAAAGCAGAGACAATAAGGTTCCTTGAGCTGGCAGGGTTGTTGGGAGCATAAAAAGATTAAGTACATCTAAACCACTTATATACAGTATATAGTGTTAAACAGTAAACAGTCAGTGGTGGTTAGTCATGACTACAATTATCACCATCATTAGGAATTGACTGCCTCATGCTGCTAAACCCATAAATCTGCCAAAAAAAAAAAAATCTCATACATGGGGAAGAGGATATTGATATGCAGAAATGGCTGAGTAGCTTTTATCCTCCAAAATGTACTCACTTTAGATCTATTTTTTTCAAGTTTCTATTATATGTGCAATCCATGTTCCATTATTTAAATCTTATCTCCATTTGTACACTCAATGTTTACATATTTTAACTTATTTAAAATGTTATGAATAAGCAATGCATTCACATGGATCCATAAAAAAATGAAAGAACAGAACGGTAGGCAGTGAAGAATCGACTTCTCGCCCTTGCCCCCTAATTTGCCAGCCCCCCACTCACTCTATAACATATTCATGTTATTAGTTTGCAGATCCTTCCAGTTTCTTTACACAAACATACAAAAACACAAATAAATAACATTTAAATTCTTAGCAGGGGGTCAGGTGCAGTGGCTCACACCAGTAATCCCAGCACTTTGGGAGGCGGAGGAGGGCTCCCCTAATCAAACAGGATCGCTTGAGACCAGGAGTTTGAGACAAGCCAGGGCAACAGAGAGAGACCCCCCCCATCTCTATTGAAAAAAAAAAAAAAAAAAAAAAAGACAATTCTTAGAAATAACAAAACCTATCCTATTTACATGACTCTATAAAGCACTGCAAACTATTAGGTCTTTACAAGTGTGAGTATGAGGAAAAAAAATCTACTTAACATACTAAGTTCAAGTCAGACATCACGAACAAAAAATATTTTGAGTTGTTTGTTTCTAATATCTTTCTCAGGGTTTCAGTGAAATGATTTACGCGTGTTAGGTAAGGGCACACAGAATCTAAATTACATATGAATTTACACAAAATATAAGTAACACTTCAACCTTAGTTATTAATTTCATATAAACTGTAAACACAGTTTATATGTCCATGGTGCTGCCTTAGAACGTGCCTTAACTAGATTTCTGCAAGATTCATCAGGATTATAAGAGTAGGGAAGTGGATCATCACAGAACTAAACAGTTAATTCCTACTAGTTTATCCATCGTTTCTTTAATAAGTCATTTACATTAAATTTAGTCCCGTAAAAATAATATACAATTTCAAATAAATAAACCTTTACTATTCTGGCAGCTAGGCCCAAATTCTTACTCTAGATTTAAATAGAAGGCTCTCTATATTAACAGAATAACTTTTTTTTCTTTTTTTCTTTTTGACATGGAGTTTTGCTCTGTTGCCCAGGCTGGAGTGCAAAGGCATGATCTCGGCTCACTGCAATCCCCGCCGCCTCTAGGGTTCAAGTGATTGTCCTGTCTCAGCCTCCCGAATAGCTGCGATTACAAGTGCCTGCCACCATGCCAGGTTAATTTTTTTGTATTTTTAGTAGAGATGGGGTTTCACCATGTTGGCCAGGCTGTTCTTAAACTCCGGCCCTCAGGTGATCCACCTGCCTCAGCCTCCCAAAGTGCTAAGACTACAAGTGTGCACCACCACACCTGGCCCAAAGGGATAATTTTCCTTAAATACTCTAATAAACTGCTCAGCTATCTAACAAGCCTAGTGTACAATACATTCCCTCATTTTCTTTATTCTAAACTTGCAAAATAACTATTGGTTTCATTTTTTTAAACTGCCTTATGTTTCAACTTACCAATTACCTCTTAAAATAAATCCAAAGTCAGAATTTCAATAATCCCACGGATAAATTAAGGTAAAAATGGCTGGACATCGTGGCTCACACCTGTAATCCCAGCACTTTGAGAGGCTGAGGCAGGCGGATCACAAGGTCAGGAGTTCGAAAGCAGCCTGGCCAATAGAGTGAAACCCTGTCTTTACTAAAAATACAAAAAAATCAGCCAGGCATGGTGGCAGGCACCTGTAGTCCCAACTACTTGGGAGACTGAGGCAGAAGAATTGTTTGAACCTGGGAGGTGGAGGTTGCAGTGAGCCAAGATCACACCACTGCACTCCAGCCCAGGTGACAGTGCAAGACTTGGTCTCAAAGAAAAAAGAAAAAAAAAAAAATAAGGTAAAAATGCTGATGTAATTTAGATATCTTTTATTATCCAAATAAGCCCGACAAAACAAAGGAAATTACCAAAACTTTTTCATGTCTTTAATATTTAAAAAATCTACTACAGGATTCCCTTTGATATGCCCTATAGCATCCCCCATAAATGATGATGTTTCCAACCAAACAACATAATCACTGTAGGACTGTGGGCTGCAAGATACTTAATTTGGGTTCAATGGCTTATTCCACTTACTCATCAATAAATACGACAAAGTTATTTTTTAGGAAAGACTAACATCATTCTGATTTTATTTGATTTTATTTTTTGAGGGAGTCTCCCTCTGTCATCCTCATCTCTATAAAAAAAAAAAAAATTTGTTTTAATTAGCTGGGTAATGTTTCACATGCGTATAGTCCCAGCTACTCAGGAGGCTAAGCTGGGAGGATCATTTGAGCCCAGGAGTTTGAGGCTGCAGTGAGCTATGATCACACAACTGCACTCCAGCCTGGGCGACAGGGCAAGACCTTGTCTCTAAAAACAAAAAAACAACACAGAAAAGAAACTAAAATAACACAAGTAAATAAACATGAAATACTACTTTTGCAGTTAAAAAACTGTAACTGTTACTTTTAAATAACATAAAATTTCTAAGCACAGTAGCTTTCTTTTAAGCCAGGTAACCTTCTCAAATCTTCAATGAATAAATTCTAATCAAATTTCAGCAAAATTTTAGTAATGCTTTACTTTCACTGTTAGGTCATGGTAACATTATTTCGCCACCTGTAGCACTTTAACAAAGCAAGAAAACCACAACACAATGCTTTAATATTTGGGACTTAGTGGCTATCTCCCCTTGTGCTCCAACTATCCTCTCACAAAATAAAGAAAACAAACTGAGATGAGCCCCTTAGGAATAGGTAGCTGTGCACGGCTCTAACCTGGTTCCGCTGCATGCAGCTCTCCGCAGTTCTTGTATTAACTGACCAGTGCATTCTGGTTCTTTACTGGCCGCCTGCAGCAAAGCTTTCCTAAACGTATGCCGGCATTTCTTTTGACGAGCTTCTGCCCGCTCCAGGCGGCAGAGGTGCTTATATTTCTGCTGAAAGTAAGTGCAAAGTTGGGTCACCCTGGAGCTCCTACTCTCCGCATCATCATCATCTGACCTGGAAAGTGCAGGGAGAGAAATGAAAAACTGATTACACATTAGGTTCATTTTAGGCAGGGGAAAAGAGAATTATGAAGTGTGGCACAGGTTTAAAACTTTTGTGGCATGTAAGCAGGTACTTAACACAATTAGAGTAAGAGAATTCCAGTAGAACTAAAAATAAGTGCAGCATTTCAACAATAAGGATAGGGTTAATCCAGTGTTTTCAGAAACAGCTTGGTATCATTAGACACTTAATATATGAGTGTCTTCTAAATTTTAAGTGACTAGAGACTCTTGAGAAAAAAATTCATTTTTTTCCCTTCACTTACAAAAACTCTGAGTAAATGACATGACAGTTATAAGGAAACACACAGCATAATTTCATAAAAGAAGGTCTTACCAGAAATCAAGTAGCGAATCCTAACAGTTTACTATCTAAGAGCTGCCCTTTTAAACATTCTGGTTTTTAAATACCTTTTTCTTGCTAAGTGCCTAGAGAATTTTGGTTGTAGGGATCACATTAATTCTACCAGGTATTTTTTTTAAACTATGGAATTATCCTAAACAGCATTTACTAAATCAGAGATTAGATACAGGATTTTCCATCACATGCTAATAATGTGATTGATTGGTGTCCCTGGCTGAAAGGCTATGTGGAAATGATGCTGAGGGAACATCTAAGCTCAACAAGAAAGGGTGCTGAGCTTAGTTAGCAATATCTACCGCCAGTGAGGTTTAAAAGGCCACTTTTCCATGGAACAAATGTGATCTTACTTTTTACCATTAGGAATACTGCATACTGGACTTGAAAACTGACCTGTTATTTTAGCTTCTTTCTCTTCTATCTTAAGTAAATACCACACATGTGACACCGTGGACTACATATTAACTTACTAATCTTCTGCTATTCATTGCTTGGTTTCTCTTAAGTGGTATTATTATTCTTTTCTTCAGCATAGCCTATAACAGTCTACTGTATAAACTTTTTTTTTTTTTTTTTTTTTTGAGATGAAGTTTTGCTCTTGTTGCCCAGGCTGGAGTGCAATGGCGTGATCTTGGCTCACCACAACCTCCACCTCCTGGGTTCAAGCAATTCTCCTGCCTCAGCCTCCCGAGTAGCTGCGATTACAGGCATGTGCCACCACGACTGGCTAATTTTGTATTTTTAGTAGAGACAGGGTTTCTCCATGTTAGTCAGGCTGGTCTCTATCTCCCGACCTCAGATGATCCGCCTGCCTCAGCCTCCCAAAGTGCTGGAATTACAGGTGTGAGCCACCGTGCCTAGCTAAACTTCTGTTTAGTACTTCTCCTAAGAAGCGTATTCTCATCAGTATACTTTTTACTACAGATCTACAAATGGAAGGATTTTACTTCAATCTTTTCATTTATTCAACATTCAACATTTACTGTGTATCTATTATGCTGAGCACTACAGAAGAGAGACCAATGTTTCAGAGTTTATAATGCAATTTAGACAAGACACTTCCCAGAAGTTAAAACAATCCAAGAAAGAATAAAATCAGTGGCTGGGCGCTGTGGCTCATGCCTCTAATCCCACCACTTTAGGAGGCCGAAGCAGGAGGATTACCTGAGATCAGGAGTTCAATACCATCCAGGCCAACATGGTAAAACCCCGTGTCTACTAAAAATACAAAAATTAGCTGGGCATGGTGGCACACACCTGTAATCCCAGCTACTTGGAAGGCTGAGGCAAAACAATTGCTTAAGCCCAGGAGACGGCTGAGTTGATGCCACTGCACCCCAGCCTGGCCAAGACAGTGGGACTCTGTCTCAAAAAACAAACAAACAAAAAGAATAAAATCAGTAACTACTTTTATAAGTTAATTAGTGGGGCAGGTGGGCCAATGATTCAAATATCTGACCACGAATAAGAAAAATCTGGGAACATTTAAAAGTTTCAGATTCCTAGGACCTACGCCAAGTCTACTGAACCAGAATCTCAATGGTGTAGGGCCCAGGATTCTTCATTTTGAATTTTTCCCTGACCTCTGACGGCCGGTCTACGCTTGGGAGTTCTCACAGAGCTAGCAAGTTTGATAAATACCTTTCACACAAGATAGAGGATAGTAAAGTACCACAACAGAGGTCTAGGTATGGTGTTACTGAAGTTCACTGGGAAGACAGCTGGAAGGGCCGGGCATGGTGGGTCACACCTATAATCCCAGCACTTTGGGAGGCCAAGGTGGACAGATCACTTGAGGTCAAGAGTTCGACCAACATGGCAAAATCCTGTCTCTACTAAAAATACAAAAAGTTCCTAGGTGTGATGGTGCATTCCTGTAACCCCAGCTACTGGGGAGGCTGAAGCAGGAGAATCATTAGAACCTGGGAGGCAGAGGTTGCAGTAAGCTGAGGTCGCAGCAGTACACTCCACCCTGGGTGACAGAGCAAAACTTTGTCTCAGAAAAAAAAAAAAAGACTGCTGGAAGGAAAGAAAGGCTTTGCAGAGGAGATGACAGCAGAAATGAGCCCTGAAGAAAGAGGACCTCACACAAATAGAACACGTAATCCAAGATAAAGAGATAGGACGGTGAACAGCAAGAATGTAAGTAACTTGGTTTGGCTAAGGTATTGGGTCTGTAAGGGAATAATGATAGGTAAGTTTAGCTTTCTAAACCTAAATGTCAAATTAAAGAGTTTAACCTTTATTCCACAGGCAAGGCAGAAGCCTCGTAATTTTTTAAATTTTGCAATCCTAACTGCTAAGCTTTGTAATTGTTAAGAAAATACAGTAACAGAGGTGTGCCATGGCAATGATTACAGTCAGCAGCAGATATAAAATAAACAGAGAAAGAGAGAGAGGAAGATGGTTAAAAAATTAGTGTAAAACTCCAGGTAAGAGATAACAAGGATCCATGCTAGGATGGAAGGGGCAGGACTGGAGAGCATGAAGCAATCTGCATGTATAAAAGACAGGCTTTGTCAGCTAGCAAGGACCAGGGAAAGGACAATAAGCAGGCAGCAGTTTCCACTAAGGAAGACTGGAGAAGGACAGTAGCATCATGTATAAAGCAAAGAACTAAAAATACAAAAAAATTAGCCATGCCTGTAGTCCCAGCTACTTGGGAGGTTGAGGCAGGAGAATTGCTTGAACCCAGGAGGCAAAGATTGCAGTGAGCCAAGATCACGCCACTGCACTCCAGCCTGGGCAACAGACTCCTGTCTCAAAAAACAAACAAAGCAAGACATATAAGAGTCATTAACGTAAGAGAAATAACTCACTTTGGCGCCTCAATATGAAGGATTAGAAAGTCAATGGCTCAATGGCTTTGAATCTACATAACTAGAAAACTGGATGTCTCATTCATAGAAAAAGCAAATGGAGAGGAAGGGCAGGTCTTAAAGGGAAGGTAAAGCTTGGATGAATAATCAGTTGCCAAAATCTGCACCTCCATCACCACTATCACCACCTCAGTGTCCCCTGGCTCCAGTCCCACTCTTAGGCTCTTAGGACAGCACTGCGACCACTGCCTGGCCCTACCTGCCTCCTGTGCTGCACACCCCTCATGCAGTAGGCCCAGATGGCACTTTACTGCTAGGACTGGCTTAAAATAGAGAAGATACTGGTGATCACCATGGCAATGCGATGCAGGACTGGATTGTATCTCTGACTTGGACTGACAGAGCAGAGTGCAGAGGCTTGCATCGTGAATTTTAGCTCCAAAACAATTGCAAAAACAAACAGGAATCCCAAGAGGACCCACAGACCCTCTGAAGGAAGTAGACTGCTCCTGCAAGACCCGAAAGACATCCCAAATACTGTAAGTGCCCAAAGTATTTGGGAACTGGGAAAGGGAAATCCTCCATTCCCGAACAGACACCCGAGCTGGGGAAACTGAAGGTCTAGTTTGTAGGAGTTTCCAATCTTACCTGGAGCTGAGTCAATTTAGAGAGCCGAGTGAATTACAAGGGTAGAGGAAGAAGAAGGAAAGGCTCTAAGAGCTCACTGGGTCCCTTAGCAGGCTATTCCTACCTGGCATCACAGGGATCTTTCAGGAGGGCAGCCAGAGGCATGGGGAAAATGCCACAGAGAGAAGAAAATCTCCAGCTGAACTTTTGTAACATATTTGAACCTGGCAAGAACCCTCATGGCCAGAACTTGGGGGAGGGCACAAATCCCACATGCAGACTCCACAGGTGGGGAAAGAACCAAAGCCCTTCTCTTTTGCAGCTAGGAGGCAGGTAGCCTGGGGCAAGTTCTCAAGCCCTGCTTGCCCACTGCCTGGAAACAGACATGGGGCTGTTAGGCAGGGCATGGTGGAAGTGAGGCTGGCCCTTTGGATTGGATGGGAGCTGGGTGAGGCCTATGACTGCCGGCTTTCCTCTACTTCCCTGACAACCTGCATGATTCAGCAGAGGCAGCCATAATACTCCTAGGTATACAACTCCACTGACATGGGAACCTGCGCCTATACACACTGTCATCAGGTTATCCAAAGTTAAGACAAAGGAAAGAATCTTAAGAGCTGTGAGACAGAAGCACTAGGTAACCTGCCTAACATCACAGGGATCTTTGAACCCAAGATTAACAGGAGATTTCTCAATAGAAACCCTACAAGCTAGAAGGGACTGGGGCCCTTTCTTCAACCTCCTTAAACAAAACAATTATCAGCCAAGAATTTTGTATCCAGCAAAACTAAGCATCATATATGAAAGAATGATAGTCTTTTCAGACAAACAAATGCCAAGAGAATTTGCCATTACCAAACTACCACTACAAGAACTGCTAAAAGAAGCTCTAAATCTTGAAACAAATTCTGGAAACACATCAGAACAGAACCTCTTTAAAGCATAAATCACACAGGACCTATAAAACAAAAATACAAGTTAGAAAGCAAAAACCAAAAACCAAAGTACATAGGCAACGAAGAGCAAAATGAAGGCAATGGTACCTCACATTTCAATACTAACATTGAATGCAAATGACCTAAATGCCCTACTTAAAAAGATTCAGAAGCAAAGAATGGATAAGAACTCACCCACCAACTATCTGCT